TGACGACAGGTCAGGTCCATATGAACAGGATCCTTCTTCCATCCTTTTCTCGGACTGGGACTTGTTCATATACGTTCTTGGCAGATGATCCAGCAGTGGTTTGCCATTGCCTTCTTCTGTGTGTGAATGGAGTAATTGTTGGGATGCCACGGAGGAAAACTCCGTGTTGCCTAGACCACGGCCTTGCCCAACACAAGTTATAAATTCGGGCAAAACGTACAAAACGTTAATTCCCTTCACAAATCGAAATTAAATACGTTAATGAAACTAAAGTGCGGTGAGAAGTGGCCTGCATTCCTAGTCATAAATACATCAAACGAAAAGAAGAGAGACCTGGGTGGAAAACATGGGCACAGCACACGATAATGGCACTTACACCAGAACACTGCCACAAAATCCTTTTCGTTTAACACTCGTTCCAACTGTTTGGCGGTCACCTCTTCAATTATGGATTCGTCCTTCACTTTCGCCGCTGAACCTCCTCCAGCAGTCTCTGGTTTCCTCGCAGTGGTCACACCGTCGATCGCCGTTAAGGAGACGATCAGAAGTGTTATCCACCACGACCACTGCCGTACCGTCGGCCACGGGGCCGAGATACCTGGAGCCATGGCCGCTCCTCGTTTGTAGCAGGTACTGCCACTCACTGCCACTCCACTGTGCAGATACACGCGGCTCTAAAGAGTGGGACGCAAATAGTGCACATATTCACCCGAAAGAGGACTCCACCAAGAATATGTGGACGATGTTACTTTTGCGACCTCCCGCTAGGGGAGACTTGTGTTAAAATAATCTCGTTTTAGACATATCACATTTGAGCATGAATGTTAAATTCATGTTTTCGGCAAATTTCTCGAAAGAAGTGCAAAGCTTTAAGATGTTTTACAACTTTTATTCAAAGAGATGTTTCATAACACACCTTCCTACCTCACATTCGCCGCATAACATTTAGTAAGAACGTATCATTTTAACTTTAAGTCAAGTAGTTTCAGATTTTACACGCAAACGGGAAAACAGAATCGACCCCCACCATTACGGCAGTAGCTCATCTGACTTGTGTATAGGTATAACATTTGACTATCGATCTAATCATCGACTATACTGAGACAATTTTCCTCGGTTTCCCCTGCTAATCAAGATTCCACCATTATTCCATACCAATCTATTACAATTCAGCGAAGAAGCAATAGTCCTGAGATGCTAATTTCATCTTAGATTCAGCATTTGGCTGGTTACGACGTAAAGGTAGTTTAGGTTTTTAGTAAGAAATAAAATGTTTTATTTTTATAATAAACGCTGTTTTCTAGTCCATTTCACATTATCATATAAGACGGTTTGCAACCGGTGGGCGGTTATTAGTACTGCTTTCAATTCTTACAGTCCCAACGTTCTAGTATCGCCCCAGAGGCAGGCTACCCTAACTGAAGTTATTCATGTTTTTCTCAGACACTACAGGACAGCACCTAAAATCAGACGACAGCTTCCTTCAATAACATTTCAGATTCATCATTTATTTATTTATTAACCTATTAGCCTACGATGTTTACTGTGACTTCCTAACAGCGTCGTTAAATAACTCATATAACAAATATGTTTGTCTGCTACACACTGGGAAATATAATGCAAAAATTAATTCATACAATCATATTTAGGTCGATATATTTGTTAATATTTTTTAAAAAATTGTATAAAAGTCATTTCAAAAATTGGAAAGCAGGCCACCATGTGAAGACATTCCTACTTATCTATAATAATGGGCATTATAAAAAGCGAGAAATCGTGGGATATACCAATAATGTATCCTACATTTATCAGCTGTAACAGGAAGAACTGAAATATTTTAAAAGAAAAGGATTCAGATAAAATTTGCAATTTTTTTTTCGAACACCCTATTTTTGCCATCTCTCTTCCAAGGTTTTAATTAAGAAGACGCACTATGGGCAAAGTACGCGTTGGTAGGCCCAAAAGAGCACGATCCATTTAAAGCATCACAATTTTTCATATTTCATATTCGACAATACATATGACATAAGCATAAATAATGAACGCAAAGACAGTAAAAATGAGAGGTAACTTGTAAGAAACTTTTGTTAATTACCAGTGACAGTATTTTCTCCACACACGCCTCGCAAACAATTTTGTAAAACTCATTAGCCGTCATTTTAAAAATGGCAGCCTAGATGTCGCACCCTTTTTCTCAAGAAAAACATGGCGGAACAGAAAACAGCTGACAGTACCTCGTGTCCTCCCATCCATCTTCATCTACAGACAAACTTTTCATTACTGCTGTTACAAAACTCGCAAGATGAAAATTACGCAAATAAAATATGAAAATTCAGACGCTTGCCTACAACAGCTGTACATGAAATTCACTTTAAATCACAGAAAACGGCACAAACTATCGAATTTCCCTGTTTATACGTAACTATACGAAATCAGAGTTATAATTACCAATCCATTTTACGTTGAATAGCAACAACTTATTTGCTTCACAATACAGAAGTAATATAAAAGGGTCACATGGCACAACATCCAAAATGACAGTGATCTTTATGCTCAATGCCATGAGAAACTAAAATCTCACCAATAATTGTGCTACGTATGATGGAAAACCATACAGTATTTGCTAACTTTCCTCAAGACATATAATGTAACTACAGTCCTGTTTCAACTAGTCACCTGCATATGTTAATAAAGGATATATTGGATGTGTTGAACAACTAAAACTTACAATATTTACTATTGCATAGTCGTAGGTATGTTGCACCATGAGGCGATGAATTTTAATTGATGTCCTTACGTATTTGGGGTAAGGGTTCTTCCACTAGGAGAGTTATTACACATTCTTTACACACAAAAATAAACATTGCAGGGAACCTACGATCCCTCCAACTGCAAGCATGAAAAATTCTGTCAAAGGTGTTTAAAAGAGAAACCCAAAACTTGATATTCTGAGGTATTTTTTAGTGAATCAACACTTGTAGTATAGTTACTGTCATATATTCATCTTTCACACATATCTGATATTCCCTAGGTAAAACCATATGGTCTATAAACTTGACCACTATCTGCCGATAATAAAAGATAAATTTGTAAAATCATCCTCCTGAGGCCAAGATAAAATTCTTGTAAATTACAATGTACAAAGGACTGACAATATAAATTCTGTATCAATTTAAATGAATTTAATAATACAGAAAATCATTTCAACCTCAAAGGGAATTAAAAATTTCACACATAACAAAAAGAACATACCAGAGAAATGATGTTATATAAGAACTCTTTCAATGTCATATTCAGCCCACGGAGAAGGAAAACAGAAAAGCATAAGAAAAGTACCAAGTCACTACATGCCAAATATCTCTCCTATCTTCTACACTATAACAACCTTATTTAAAACAGAGTATACTTCCTCTTACTAGCAAATACATTCTCTCATTATCATCAATCAATTTGGAGAAATTCCAATGAAATTCAGAGATACACATTATAAATTACAAATATAAATAAAATATATAGAATGGAACAAACAATATACAAATATGCAGAGAATTTGGATACAGTGTTCTGCTCCATGAATTATATCATTCTAAATACATGAATATATTATTTCTGTAACATAACCTACAACATATGTATGTTCCACTACACAATTAACAAATAATAAATAAGAATGTCATTTTGCTAATCACAACTAGATTCTGACAGCAATGACTTTGGAAAATTTGCCTACTTTATTCTCATTAACCACTGTTTTAAACTAAAAACTGTAATTGGGTAAATACATTAATGTTCCTCACCTGCGGACACCAGAATGTTACGCCTGCTGCCACAGTTTGTGGCATCCTTTCAGTTGTTGTAAAATCACTGTCTGCAAAATGGTTGCTGAACAAACACTTATTTTGCCGCATGTTTGCACTATTCCTGCCCATTATTAAGTACTCTTAAAGAAGAACACCCCGCGTTACAACTAAACATAATTGTTCATCAGTCAACAACAATCACATCATTCCCCAATAATGGAGGTGGTGAGAGTCTTCAAAATGTTAGGCTCCTTTCCAGAACTGACATATCTTCTTGCCCAAGAGTATTATATCAAGTTGAGTCACCACAAACAATTACAAACTTGTCAATGATGTGAAATTTTGAGGTTATGTCCATGAAATTTAATGCAGACAAAACTAAAGTGAATTGCATAAATAAAGTTGTGCATCATGATCAGATAGCCCACTTATCACTGTTTCAATAGAAATATTTGCTCTTTCCTGAAGTTTCTACAAAGACACTGTCCATGGCAGTACTGAAGTAATTCTGAATTCTTGTGAGAAAACTACTGACAGCAGCTTGATGCTAGTAGGGAGTTTAGACATTGTTCGTGGTAACTTTCAGTAAGATAATTAATATAAACGTCGTACAAATGACAAATTCTGCTGCAGGTTTATAAAGATAATTTATAATTCTTTCTAACTTGTTTCAGAAAAGTTCAATATCACTCTGTATATAGCTACGACATATATGTTGGAGTGTTTGGATTCCAATTGCACAACACAATCATATTGTTAAAAGAATACTTCGTGCCTAAAATCAGACCACGGTTTCACAACAACATAAAATTAAAACTTGCATTCAATAAAATTTCATTATCACAATATTACCACATTCCAACCATTCCCGGTTTAACAGCCTATGCTCCGAATCAATACGCAGCTAAATCCCTATTGGTTCCGATAAAAGAGTAGGGGATCTTGGCTACTAGTGACATCTTTTGTTTGTTACATGTACTACGTTCAAGTATCTCGACTCATTACGGATATGTGTCGCCAGTGTCGCAATGTTCCTCAACAGAGGAAAACAATTGTTGTGCTCTTCAACTGTTGTAAATAAATTGTGTTGTCATAGATACACTGAGATAACAAAGCTATTTGACTCTGCAAGTCGTGTGGATAGGATTAAACGTAGAAACATTTTGTGATTCCATCATGTTTCCTTTAAACAGCTATTGGTGTAGACAACTCCAGACTGCGGTAAGTAATTTAGTATAATCCCTAGATTGTGTGTACTGCCTATCTGAACACAACCCAAACCAGAACATGTATACTGGTTGTTGTTGGTAGTGTTTGGCAGTAATTATGCGATTTGTTAGTAATGTGTCTACCATACTTTCTCTTTTCTAGAGTCCTGCAATCCCTTACAAGGACTGCGAGGAAGCTCAAGATGGTGAGGTAACTCAGGGCTATCAGGATGACGGGGCCAGGTATGTGAACTGTATTGTTTTAAATGCAGTGCATCAGCTGCTTAGACTGTTGGCTCACTTATAACGAAATTCGATGAGATAGTTTTGCTTTACGTTAAGTTACATCAGTACCTTTTATCGGAGGAAGAATGGAGACTGTCCCTTAACAGTCAGAGTTTTTTTTTATTATTAGTGTTCTGTCTGACGACAGGTCCGTTTACTTGGCAGATGATTCAGAAGTGGTTTGCCATTGCCTTCTTCTGTATGTAAATGATGATGAATGTGAAGTAATTGTTGGGATGCCACGGAGAAACCGGGGAAGCCCCGGAGGAAAACTCCGTGATACCTAGACCACGGCCTTGCCCAACACAAGTTATAAATTTGGGCACTACCGGGAATCGAACCCAGGACCCCAGGATTACAAGGCCAGCGTTCTAACCGCTAGACCACCGTGGCGGTTTACAGTCAGAGTATACCATATTAAAATTAAATCAAACAGCGTTTTTACAATAGGCTAAATTTGTATAGAAGAATACAGCCATCAATTGAATATCGGCCATACGTTTAATGGAAACAAAAAGTTTCTCATATTTTCCATGGTATTATCATTTATCTGCGGCCCTGGACGAAGATATGAAGTCAATGTGAGTCACAGTAATGGAAAGGTTGCGGTCCCCTGGTTTAGAACAGGGTTTCTTAAACTGTGGAGTGAACCGTAGGTGGGCGCGAAAATCAAACAAAATAAGTAATATTTGTTACCCTGCAAAAATATTTAATTTAGATTTCAAATCGTTAATTTTATAAAACTTCTTTATTAATAACATATTATATATTTTTTACTATAAAAATTTGTGATTTGTCGTCGTCGTCATATAATTTGTAGGCAAACAATTCCGTCATCAAACAATGTTACGCTATATTTGTTTACTCGGCATTGTTATACCAACACAACAATGTCGAGTAAACAAATGACTTGACAAATGACTTACTCAAGATTTTAAAATGCAACCAACCCCTCCGCCCCCTCGAGGAGTTCCGAAAGGAGCACTCTGCTCTAGTGTTCAAAAATACATGCACATGGGTAACCAAAAGCTTATGATTAATCCATGAATATGATAAATACATAAAATGGTATTTCGTGGAAAGATAAGAACAAGAATGTTATACATTTTCTCCTGTTTCTTAAATTTGGCACAGGGTTGTCCATAAAGCCTGGTACATCATAGAATAAATAGTAAATACAAAGAATAATCTTGCTGCAGAGAACCCTGGTAGGATCATTCATTGTTTGTTTTTTTCAGTACTGTGCATTTATTATACATTTGATGCATTAAAATGCTACATTAGTAGCCTGAATAATGCCTGTGTATAAAATACACACTTCACGTTTTAGAATGCTGCATTATCATATGACTGTGGCTAGTTGGATGATCTTATGATTTTGTACTTACATATGTTGCCAAGCTCTTTAATAGCTTTATAATATGCAACATCACTTACATAATAATACACACAATTAACTTTTAAATTAACGACGAAATAATCTGTCCATCAAAGATCACAAATTTAATAATGTAAATACAAGCATACAAAGAATATTTGTATTACTTTTTTGACGTAAATACGTCTATACGGAAGGGTCATTCGGCAAAAAAGTGTAACGAAAACGTGTAAGACCAGTATTAACAAATCGACAACAATGGTTACCTACGGAACGTCATGTTTACTCGGCATTGTTGTTACCTAGGAAAACGTGTAAGACCCATATCAACAATGTGTAAACATGGACCAACAACAATAGTCAGCTTGCGTGCATTGTTATGTTACCTAGGAAACGTCATCTGTTTACTCGGCATTGTTGTTACATTACTGCCGTCAACAATCCGATTTCGTTATTGCGGAAAGAGCTGAGCTGTGAATCACTTGTACGAAGAAGTGCGTCGTAGACTGGATAATTTTGACATTACATTTAATTACATTACATTACATTCAGCTACCTTCCTTTCATTGTATTTATTTCTTAAATATAATTTAAATAGAGACGTATTTACATCAGATTCTCCGGAACCGTGGTACCACTGACAATTTTTATTTCATGTTGAATTTAAAAGAGGATTGCTGTTATTATAATAATAATAATAATAATAATAATAAGTGCAAAATAATTTGATACACCTTGTTTGACTGCAGGTCCATGATGAGCGACCCAACTAACGAGAAGATATTACATTCAAAACCGACGGACAAAGACATTTTTTTAAGGTTATGTTTTGAAAACAAAGAACAGCAAACGAAGGAACTTGAACAATCACGCCACTGCAGCTCTTGCGTGGAAACAGAAAATACAACTCACAATTCAAGAGATGATTTGACAGCCATTATGGAAAAGCTAGAAGAGAATCATAAATCAATTACAGAAAGGACTGTGTTACTGTTTACGGACTATAATGCACTTTCAGATGAACTTAAGAAATGCCATGAGACAGTAAATGAAGATAATGTGATGAAGACCGAGTTTCTGAAACTGAACACTAAAATTGCTGACTTGGAAAAGCAGTACTTCAGTGAAGCGGGAGAAACCAGGAGAACCATAAAAAAACTGAAGGAGACTGTTAATAAGATCTCATCAGAAAATGAAGAACTGTTTGTTGCAATGACAGAGACGTTTGAGCAGCGTCACAATGAAATGGACAGAAATGAGTTTCTGAAACTGAACGCTAAAATTTGTGACTTGGAAAAGCAGTACTTCAGTGAAGCGGAAGAAACCAGGGAAACCATAAAAGAACTGAAGGAGACTGTTAATAAGATCTCATCAGAAAATGAAGAACTGTTTGTTGCAATGACAGATACGTTTGAGCAACGTCACAATGAAATGGACAGAAATGAGTTTCTGAAACTGAACGCTAAAATTGCTGACTTGGAAAGGCAGTACTTCAGTGAAGCGAAAGAAACCAGGAAAACCATAAAAGAACTGAAGGAGACTGTTAATAAGATCTCATCAGAAAATGAAAAACTGTATGTTAGAATGACAGAGATGTTTGAGCAGCGTCACAATGACATGGAGAGGTATGAGAAAGCTATGGAACTATTGAATGAGGCTGTAGAGAAAATATTGTCTGAAAACAAGAAGCAGAAGCAGGAAATTTGTGATGATGCTAGTGATGACACGACAGTTTCCACACATGATGAAGAGGTGGAGCACCTCAATAAAAAAGGAAGCAGGAAAATTAAGTATAAGCATGTAAGTTATTCTTTTCCATCTTTTAGGGAGTCTGATGAGTTCAAACAGAACTTCAACGTAGATGGCTGTCTTCTGTGTTGTTGCGCAGAAAACTTTTGTAAAAGTGCACCAATGTTTCAGACATGCCTGGGTGGTGATAGAGGCACCAATCACCACTGAAACATTGGTACACTTCTATAAAACTATTCTGTGCAACAACCCAGAAGACAGCCATCTTCATACCCAATGCTACAAAAATCTCAAATCTCAGAATTTCAAAAGCTTCATGAGAGATTGGACATTACGAGATGAAAGTCTCTTTCGGTGAAACTTTATGTACTGCAGAAACATTACCTCCAGGGATTCATTTCTAAATTAACCATGCACTTTAGCAAGTGTGTTTGCTTACTACTGTCACCTTGAAGTTCGCAGTTACCGAAATATTTATAGTGATCTCCAAAGTTACAATATTCTCCACAGAAATGTACCAATCATACCTTCTCTTTTCCAGAATCAAATCGAGTTTAATAAACATGCCTACAAAGGCATTGCCAAGAATATTCTTCAATACCAGGCAATGAAGACCACTCTTACAGATGAAAATGCAATATGCAGGTCTATCTGTGACAGGTGCAAAGGGTTTACCAGACCAGGTATGTGACCAAACCTGTATCATTTATTATTATTATTATTAAAGAAACAAGGTATTAAACTGAAGATTTCTGTCTTCTGGGTTGTTGCGCTGTGTAGTCTGGTCGATGTTTATCAATGTTTCAGAGGTCATACTGCCTCCGTCATAAGGGTGATGAATACTACACAGCGCAACAACCCAGAAGACAGAAATCTTCATACTCACCACTGTGAAAACCTTAAACCTTACAAGGTATTAAACTGCTGTGGCATGAATGGACTCATGAAAGACAGGAAGTAAGGTGTTTGATACCGGACCATCTTAATCTCGATGCCAGGAGAAGTGGCGGGAATGGTACAGACAATGAGCTAAATGATTTTATATTCCACTAGTTTATTTATATTTGTGGTTTATTTAATGACATCGTCAGCAGGACAGAACTAAGAGAGACTGGTGTTTTGTTAATTTGACATCGGATTACAAAATATTGGGGGAAAAATATTAATCAGAGATGTTTGAAGCAAGATGTAGGTCTGGAGTAGTAAAAACATTAATGCCATGACAAAGAATGTTACTTTTTGCTTTCCTCAAACAAAAGTAGCAATGGCACCGGATATCGCTCAAGTGGCTGTAATGTATTTTCTTCCTGTGTTCCTTCTTGGCTTCTGATTTATGAACAATTTTAATTTTGGTTCAGTGACTGAGCTACTTAGAAATCATACTTAAGAAAATGTGGGTTATAGTCACTCTGTTCATCATAGTTTGTGATACAAAAGATATCTGGGACTTGCAGTGGGGAATATGGCAAAATTATATTAACAATTTTATTATGTGATGGTTATCACATCAATGACCTTGAAATTGTAAACTTTAAATCACAGGATAAGAAAATAAATATACACAAAAAATATTACTGGACAGACAGCAGTATTAACAGCAATGCATGGACAGGTAGATTACTAAAATCATCTGTGAATTGGTTTGAATAGGTATATAAAAATTGTTCATGATTGTATTAACCATGAGTTTTGACCCATAATCCAACAATTATATTATAAATTCTGAGACAAGAAAGTACTTGGCTTTTCTGTACTAACAGACTGGAATGTACTTTAAAGCTATCCACAAACTAATCACTGCATTGTATTTTCTAAGTTTTTCATTTGAATATGATGTTTCACAATAAATTGTGAATAAAGATAAGGAAACAGTCACCTTACTTAAAAGTTTTATTCAACATCTTCCCAATGCCTTGTTTCCTCAGAATAATGCTAGTCCTTACACGGTTTTAGAATTCGTCGCAGACCTAAATAACATATACTTTGTGCTGCAATATGATACTTTGTTACAGCTGAACCTTCAGGAACGCACCTTCCAACATTAGATGACTTCAACTTATTGAACGTATTAGGATCTGGTGGTAAGTATAACTTCTCTGCTCATAAAACATGAGACTGGACATCTGAATCTCTCTAGACTGACTGGCAGCTCAGCCTCAGTTTAGAAAGACTCGCAGACATTATAATTACGTAAACATAAAAGATTTTAAATGTAGGAAGATTTCCGTCTTCTGGGTTGTTGCGCTGTGTAGTCTGGTCGATGTTAACCAACGTTTCAGAGGTCATACTGCCTCCGTCATCAGGGCGACAACCCAGAAGATGGAAATCTTCATACTCACCGCTGTGAGAACCTCAAGTCTTACATTTTAAATGTAATTTACAACTGTTTGCATATTCAAACACCTGTAAATATGAACTGATATTTAATCATGTCCTTTACAAATTCAGAAAAATCTTTATCAATAATGTTTAACCAAAATCATGCATCAAAAATATTGGATATGTTTTCTTGCTTCAAGAAGTCATAATCTGTTGTTGAAGATGATTGTGAACATAACATAATTTTTTTATGTATAAACTATGGCAATCAAAATCCTTTGCCAACAGTGTCATTCTTTTTATAATAGGTGGCATTGTTCTTGAAAATTATCTGGGAAAGTGAACTGACATATATACTAAAGTACCCCACCAATGTTATTGATAAATGTGAGTGACAATGTCAGTATATACCTTCTTTTATTTTTATTTTAACAAGCTCAGAGTTTGGAGTTAGTAACGCTGATGTACACCATACTCTGCTGAACAAAATGTTAATAGTTTAACATTATTTAAGTGTCCATTAAAGGTCTGCTAAAACTGATACATGTTACGACCAGTTGCCAATTAACCAAATCGGGCATAGGGGTTCGTGTAACTGGGTCAAAGACTTTCCAAAGAACATTCAACATCCTGTATTGCCATTCTTAATAGCTACTTTAAATTATGTGCAAAAACCACAATAAAAATCACATTGGTGGCAAATGCTTGTAGTGTTTCTTGAATAGAAGGCCTGTACGGAATGTGTACTGAAAATTCTTCAATTAGTCATGGAAGTTTGACAGAACAGAATTATAATCTTTATGAAGTAAGAGTCTACAAATATCAGAGCCCTTCGTTAAGCTAATAGCAACATGAAACATAACTGGGTGATGTTACAGGTTTTGGAATGGTTCACTTAGTCCGCAAGAATGGTGGCGAAGACAACAGAAAATTATATGCCATGAAGTTGATAGGTTTGAACGAGAAGACCTCTGAACACACTTTATTTGAACAGTGCAGGGTAGAATGCTATATACATGAAAGAGCTGCTAACACTCCCTTCCTGGTGCCACTGTACTACGCATTCCACACACAATCACACCTACTCCTTGTAGTGGGTAAGTGCATCAAAAAATATTCTTAATTCAATAATATTTTAGAAGTAAAGTAAATATTACAATGATAGAGACTGTTGGGCAGATGAAGAGGGCTGTTACCAAAAATAACATGCACATAAAACTTTAATTATTTTAAACAGGCATACATTACAGTAAGGAATGTATTTGTATAGGTCCTCGTTGTGGGGTATGTGAATAAATAATGCCATTAACCTTTATTGATAATCATAACCTCAGTAATACTGGGGCATAACTGTCTTTCTAAATTTTTGAAGTATCAGGGGGTTCGGCTACATCTTGAAATATATACAGTTTTTAGCCTAAACATCTAAAATCTTAATAGACAAATAGAACAAAAAGGGAGACACCCTGTGTGACTAATTACAGGATTATGTCGCATTCAACCTCCTTCTCTGAAGTATTAGAAATTATGTACAACAGATTAAGTCATTACGTACACACTGAAATCAATCTATTTCACCTACTTTCATTCTGTAATAAAGTATGGAATAAAGTTTGGGGGTAATTTATATGATAGTAAATGGATATTTTCCTTACAAAAGAAAATCATTATAATTATGGTGCCAAACCAAGAAATTCATATGGAAGCCTTTTTAAGAAATTAAAAATTGTACCTCCTCCTTATGAATATATATTCTCATTAATAAATTTCATTACGAATAACCTAGAACTTTGACAGATAAATTCAACACACATACACAACCGTCTCCATAAAACTGACAACCATTCATGTCTGCCAATTAGTCTAAAAATTAATTTGAATAAAATTAAACCAATTAACATAGCATTAAAAAGACGTCTCCCCCTCCTCTCCTTGGGCTGCTGGTATTGTCTCACAAAGAGATATACGACACGACATCAATTCTTCTGTCTTCTGCAGATATTCACTTTGCAGTGACACCATTGTTAAATCAAACACTATACTCAGGCAATCACTGACCTCTAGTAGCAGTAAGTGTCTTTATGGTAACAAAGTTGCACTGATATTGTTCCAGAATATTATCCAGGTGGTGACATGAGTAATCTATTATCGGAGAAGAAAAGGTTTACAGAGAATGAAGCTAGATTATATATGGCAGAAATTGTCCTGGCTGTAGAGTATCTACATCATCAGGTAGGCACACTGTTGCATTGTGATCATCTCCAATAAAATCCACAATAAAATGGTGTAAAACCTAAAAGAGCTTAATCGATCACGAATCTACAGATTTTTTTTTATTTCAATCAATACTTCATTTCTTCACTAGATAACAAATCATTTTCAATTTCTATGGAAAATATCTTAAGTGAATGCATTTATCTCAGAAGTTCAACTTATTTCTTATAAATAATTTCTTCGGGTTTAATTAGCACAGCCTTTGATTAGTATTGTTACAATTATTTATTTTAATCCGTCTTATCACAATATTTAAAATTTCTTATAATTAAGATAATAAAATATCATTGATGTTCCATATCGATTGATCGATTTACATTTCGGAACATTTACACAACATGTTTCGGTTTTTATAAAACCATCATCAGGTGTAAAATAACACTAGTACAATCACTCCTACATCTTTGACTGATATGTACATCTAATAAAATTTAAGAAAAACAACACCTTCGCCCAAAAAAATGTAAGAAACAAACGTAATGAAACATCACCAAAATACTACAGAAATCATAATTGAGTTTTAAGTTCTTAGATATATTTTACACCTGATGATGGTTTTATAAAAAACCGAAACATGTTGTGTAAATGTTCCGAAATGTAAATCGATCAATCGATATGGAACATCAATGATATTTTATTATCTTAATTATAAGAAATTTTAAATATTGTGATAAGACGGATTAAAATAAATTGTTATAATATTCACAATATGACGCAATTACACTATCTTAGTATTGTTACGTTCATTTAGTAGATGACTATTTTCTACTATATAATAATTGGTTGCCAAACAATTTCTACAATTTTAACAAAAAAATATACACTTTAGCCTAATTCAGTAAGACATTAGAAGCTGCAGCCAATGTATTTGTTTATACTTTCGTACAACACTAAATATTTAACCCAAAGAACTTTTGCAATTGGTGTTATAAAATACCAGTTCCAAAATAGCTGTGTCTACTACACTGGAGTGTCTGTTCACTCCTCTGAATCACTCATATCAGATATTTATAAGCATTTACAGTAAGGACTTAGTGGTCTATGGAGTCCCACATGGGTCTTGGGTACAAGACCAACCAAATGCAGTGAATGTAATCATATGTCCTCTTCTCCTTCCTTAAACTGTCACAAAATTAAAACTACGCTTTAGGACACAAATTAAGTTGTATCTTGCCTTTGGTAACCATCACCACCGAGATATATCATCTATGGTTCCGTAGGATTTGGGGTTTACATGGCAGTGAGTCTGAAGATGGTTGTTTTCTGGGTTGTTGCACCTTGTAGTCTGGTAGAAGTTTGCCAACGTTTCAGAGTTCCTTGCTGCCTCCATCATCAGGCGATCAGCCTCTGAAACGTTGGTAAACTTCTACCAGACTACAAGGTGCAACAACCCAGAAAACAACCATCTTCAGGTCCATTTCCCTACCAATTATATTGTAACTAGTCCACCTGTTAACCTTGTCAGGATTGTGGTAATGTATTATTATTATAGTTAGATGCTCAGAAGTTAAATTTAATAAGGCCTAGTAGTATTTACATTATTTAATAATATATGTGGCATACGGCAGCAAAGTTAGACTGATATGTAGCAGAAAAATAAAATATTGGAATTACATCTCACTACCACAATCAGAATACAGAATACCCCATCTTTTATCTCCAATGTGCAAGAAATTTAATATCTTGTTTCAGATAAATGTAATCCACCGGGACCTTAAACCAGAAAATATATTGATTGACAGTCAGGGTCATATTGCGATCACAGACTACGGGTTAAGTAGACACATTCCGAGACATGTAAAGGTAAGTTTAATATCCACCTTATATTTGTTTAGTTTACCTACAGGAACATATAGTTTGGAAATGTAAGAGCTACGTGGAATGTCGTCATGCAGTACTCTTTATTTGAGGGAAGTCATTGTACAAGAATGACTATATAAGGGAAAGTGTAACCAAAACAGGTCAGAAGTTCTTCGAATTTCAGGAGGTGAACTCTTGATGTGTAGAACTATATTACGTATACCTCTATCAGAGTTTTACGAATAATTACGGAAGAGGAGAACCAAGATAAACCAGGTCTGGGAAGAATTTTATGCCATGAAGACAATGGATAGGTGCAAGTAGATGGAAGTAAACTATAAACTGAGATAAGCAGAAAAACAAATGATAGTGCAATGAATTCCACTTTAAACTTTCAACAGTAAGAAATATGTACACTCTAGACAAAAGCTCTGAATTTCAGCTGTACCAAGGACAATGTGAATGATACCACATCATATTTTATAAAGAAAGGACTAGGTTTTTTCAAACTACAGCAAAAACTAATATGCAAATTGTGTGCAATTCACACACACACACACATTTCAGTAACAAATGTTTAAATTTAGGTAATACTGGAAACCAAGGAGCTGGTTTGGATATTATATGAGAAAATCTGTGGTTCACACAAGGGCTACTTTGAATATAATATAAAGAGAAAATCTGTAGTTCCTCTCACTAAATATTCTTAGGGTAATGAATTAAAGGAAATTATTTACAATGGCCTGGAGATGTACAGAGAGAACTAATGCTACAGAACATTGGTGCGAAAACCTCTCGGAAAAGTGCCGACTTGGAAGATCGTGAAGAAGAGGGGAATAGAGCATCAAGTGGGATCTTACAGAAGCAGGTCATGAGGACAGAAGAATGGAACTCATGTAGAAATATGTCCAATAATGGTCTTTGCTTTTAGCCATGTTCAAAATTTTGTTTCCAGACTGTTCCTAATTGCTAGTGTCTCAAGTTTCTGTCACAGCTACTTAAAAAGATTTTTTCCATCAACAGGATAAGCATGCTTCTTCTGAATGTGGCACAGGACAGTACATGGCTCCAGAGGTTGTCTACAGCAAAGGCTACAGTTTTGTAAGTATTTTCTAACTTGACTATATGAAAATAATGATTTAAATGTTTTACGTAGCTGAACCAACAGTACGGTTAATGTAAACTAATAAGGTGTCACATTATTATAAACTGAGGGTTTCGAGGCACAAATATATACTCCATAGAATTCAAAATGACACATGCATAAACTAGTCTGTATATGTTATAGGCGGTAGAACCATTAAACTGAATTTGATGTAAACACACTCCTGCCATCTGGCATGATAACAGATACATATTTGTCATAAAATGGAATTTAAACAACTTGTACTGGAGAAGCATTGAAATTCGCAATAAGTATTCTTTAGATTTTGTCCCTTATCTGCCCCAAACAAGAAAATAACTTTAAGAGTCAATTTTCACTGCATTAATCCCAAAAACAGAAATAAAAATATTATAGCAGTAGACATCAGATGCTAACGGCATTTAATGTCAAATTAATGGTAGTACGATTATATAATGTGGATTTTAAACTGTAGTTAATAAAGCAATTTTTAAGGTTCTCTTTGAGCAATCGCAAGGAAAATCAGAAATCAGTCTCTGGCTCGGTAGAAATCAAACAGTAAACTTAAACGAATGAAATGAACAACCCCTAATTTGAATTGTTGCAGGAAGTAGATTGGTGGAGCACAGGGGTAATTTTATACGAAATGATTGCTGGGCACCAACCTTTCGAAAGACACCGCATTATATCCAGTAGGTAAGTTTAAACATTCAGAAAGAAATCTGATGCCCGAACTTGATCATTTAGAGGAAGTAAAAGTCGTAACAAGGTTTCCGTAGGTGAACCTGCGGAAGGATCATTAACGGCACCGAGAGTGACCGAACAGAGAAGGAAGGCATTAATAAAATCCCTGTGAACATAATTTTCCTTTGATAAAAGTCATATGCAAATTAGTTCGTGGCAAACATATGCATGTCCATTATAATGGCAATACAGTAGGTGCACACATTTGAAGCCTGTGGAGAATTAACCACAGGCAGTGAAATAAGTTGCAGCCACGCCCATTACGAAAGCAAACTTGTACAGGACATCAATTACATGTCAAGGATAGGGAAGGAAATGGTTACAAAACGTAACATCTTTAACACGGGCCATCTTCTGTACATTTTGTATGGCCTACCTTGAACATCTCCATGTAAGTTTAACTCTGAAAGGCATTACAAACACTAATTTAAATTTTTATTTAACAACTGTTTTAATAAAAAATACAATAATGGACCTTTCTTTACAGACGAGATTTTCCAACGGATTTTTCATCAGAAGCAGCAAATCTGGTCATCAGACTGTTAAAGAAAAATCCGAAAAAACGTTTAGGATTTGGGAAAAATAATTCTGTGGCCATCAAGAAGCATAATTTTTTCCATGTGAGTTATTTCTGCATATCTGTTATTATACAATAATATATACACATTTTTAAATTCCATACTGTTTGTCTTCCATGTTATGTACTTAGAGAATAAAGCACACTGAATATCCACACAGATTCATAATTCTAGATGATGTGCTTCTCTTAAAAGTTGTGAAAATGAAAAGTGTAATTTACATCTCCAACACAAAAACTTGTGTATGACAAATATCATAGGCATAACAATGTCACGACATATATAATAAGATCACGATAAAAGCTTTACGATACAGTATATAATGTGCTCAGATCAGAATTTTAGAAGGATTAATTCAGTACATGTCTTAAAATTACCAACAACTTAATTCAAGAACTGAAGGTATGATTAAATGTCATCAAATGTCCCCCCCCCCAACAAGTAAATGCAATATTTCTAAACAACTTCAATCACAGACAAAAATTTATAGCCAGCAGAAAACTTCACTTCAAAATCCTTGTACTTCCTGCACAACCGAAGGGTATTTTAAACTGAGGTGTTCTCCCTTCTACCTTGCCACATTTTACTCTGCAATCAGCATTCGAACCCACAACACTAATTTTTGTGTTTCATCCTACAGGGCATAAAATGGAAAGATGTTGAAAGAAGGGCGATAAAAATGCCATACCAGCCATACGATGACATTACGAGTAGCGTCGCTTCTGATTCAACAGATAGTAATCACACCGTTGTGGTCAGTAAAAGTACTCTTTCTTGTTATTTTAGTATTTGGTGCACAAGAATAGGCTTTATTTCTGGTGTTTCAGCTACCTTTAGATCAGCAATAAAACATAGCTTTATAAACTGATTTCAGTGATGTTGATTACATTGACTTAACTCAGGGTCAAGTTCACTGATGGACTTTACATAAACTATACTTAAAATTTAGATTTCAAGTCACAAGAGACAGATGTTTAATCATTATGAGCCTGGTCTGAGTTCTACAACGAAGAAACTTTTCGTCATCATGTCTCAATAAAACAAATTTTTTTATAAACACCATATTAAATAAGTTACAATTATAAACATCTTAGAAGCATGAAGCTCAGTAAGTGATTATATTTTGTCTGCATTAATTTATCAGATGTCATGTTTTTTAATTATACTTATTGCAAATTATATCTCACTGCTACATTGCCACACTTTACTCTTCAATCAGCATTCTGGTCCATACTAATGTTTGTATTTCATCCTACAGGGCACAGACCAGGAAGATGTGTTAAAGAAGGCGACAAGCGTTTCAAACCAGCAAAATTGTGAAACTTCTCATTCGACATCTAGCGTTGACAATGCTGAGGTCAGTAAAAGATCTCTGTCTGATGTTTTGGAATAATGCTGAACATGAACATGTTTCTGCTACCTTTAGATCAGCAATAAAATATAGTTAAAATTATTCATTATCAGGACTTTTTCCATCATCTATTCTTTAAGGCCCGTCGTGGGTTTGACAATGAATAATTTTAAGTGTAATCTACCGGCATCAAAACCCTTTAGAATTCAATTAATAAAATATAGCTTAATAAATTGATATCAATAATGTGGATTACAATGACTTAACTCAGGATCAGGTTCACTGGTAGACTTTGCATAAGGTGTATTTAACATTCAGACTCCATGTTTCATCTTCACGGGCATGATCGGAGTTTGACGATGAAGATACATTTTCATCACCGTGTTGCAACAAAATTTTTTACCTTAATACCATATTAAATAAGGTACAATACATCTTAATTGACTTACTTGCTTTTGTAACTGTATTGCAGGTATGCTTATACGTAGCTCCACAACTGAGGCCTGAAGGAAAATGCGAAACACAAACTTCTCAGAAGCACCCAAGTTCAGTAAGTAATAATATTTTATATAAGATTTGAGGTTTTCACAGCGGTGAGTATAAAGATTTCTGTCTTCTGGGTTGTTGCGCTGTGTAGTCTGGTCGATATCAACCAAAATTTCAGAGGTCATACTCCTCCGTCAACAGGCGTCATGCCCTCATGACGGAGGCAGTATGACCTCTGAAATGTTGGTAAACATCTACCATACTACACAGCGCAACAACCCAGAAGACAGAAATCTTCAATAATATTTTAGCTGCATTAATTTTTCAAATTCTGTGACTTTCAAATATACATATTCCAAATTTTGTCTTTTTATAATGTTAATAGTTTGTTTGTTTGCTTATTTTATGTTCTAATACACTGCACAGTATGCAAAGTTTTAAGATTATATTCCAAATTATTAAATAAATGGTTAGAGATTTCTATTTTCATTTAACACAATAAATTATCTTTAAATACTCAGACTTAAAACATATAGAAATTATGACAAACTATTTAACAAACAGATATATATATGTTGGCCATTTTTAAGTTCTACCAAAAGATATATTATTATGACATATTATTATATCTGCATGTGTGTCACTACTTTACTGTCACCAAAATATAAACCACTAAACAAATTTGCAACTTTATAAATGTTAGACTGATAGGTTAAGAAAAGCTGCAGACACATCTCAGACATCCCTGAAACTTATTCCCGAAAATACTATTATGACATGAACGCGTGATATTTCTTTTGACAAAAGTCACACGAATTTGTTGTGCCATAGTTCTGGTGGTTAGAAACAGCTTCTCACTTGGGAGCCCAGGTTCATACCCAGGTCAACAGATTTGGAATTTATGGTGGAGGAAGTGGCATTAGGATGGAATCTTCTGAGGTTTTTGGTTTTATCCATTGGCACTCATGTATCATCTGGGAACTGGAAAATGGACCTGTTAGCTGCCACAGCTCCAAAGAGACAATCCTCCCTTTTCGTAAAAATAAGCAGCAGGTTGCAATAATATAACATGATGATATTAAAATCTACAGGTTAAAATAGAAAACTAACCTATGCGTTGGATCCGAACTACAGTACAGGGTATGTATTGGTCCCTCCACCCCACCCCTGAAATTCTCAGGTGATATACATGTCCAATCTCCTTTCTAGAAAACTCTAAACCACATATATTTTCTGTGGAAAGTTAGTTTTTTTTATTCAATTCTAAAGGGTTTTGACAACGGTAGTTTACACTTAAAATTATTCATTGTCAGGACAGTAACAGAGACTAGCCCTATCTAAGGGACCCAACAGAGTAGGTACCTCTCACCTGAAGACGGAGACAGAACCAGCCTCCGAAACGTCGTGGGTTTTAAAGAACAGACGATGGAAAAAGTCCTGACAATGAATAATTTTAAGTGTAAATTTTGTTACCGTTATGGGGATGCTTCACTTTCAACCATTTATTATTGTAATTTGGTAATGATTATGTACGTTCTATGTTCAGAGTGTTCTAGTATAAACTTGTCTGACTGGGCGTACTTTAGACGGTGATTATTATTGGAGTACCCATTTGCTAAAGAATGAGCAGAACCTATATCCCCATCCCTAAAGCCCCCAAACAGCATACACCAGGACAAAATATCACACAGAACATGAATATACATCCAACCATTGATCTAATTATCAAAGCGTTTGAGTGGTCAAGACTGCCAGCGACTGACGTTCTCTGCGGGCAGGAAAAAATTCATGCATGCTCATGAAGCAAGGCATGGCCAGCGAAAGTTTCTCGATTGAGGCTGAGGGTGTAACTGTCTGTTTGATTGCATTGTCTACAGTCAAAAGAGAGGGTAATGTGAAAGAAGGAAGCTGTCTCATGTACGGTCTGGTGTACAGATGGTCACATGATTGAATGACAATCATATAACAATATGTACAATATTATCCTCATCAATGTTGTAAGTTATTGTTAATGTGGCTGCTAGCAGGGCTATTGTCCATCCCCCAGATGATACATGAGTAAATATGAGGCAACAGTGGAATGAAGCTGACAGAAAAACCCCAAAGTACTCAGAGAAAAATCTGTCCAAGTGCCACTTCGTCTATCACAAACTTGATATTGACTAACCTAAGTGCAAACCTGGGGCTTTGTTTTAAGAATATGGCGACCAATCACCTGTACTATGGGAAGGCATCCAACGGCCTATATAAGATACAAGATAAATGGCACGTCTAAAAGCCTGATGCTCAGTAGTTAATAATGTACATTTCTTTCAGAATCGATGTCAGAATGAACAATGGGGAAGCATCAGAGGACTGACCTGTATTTGTACTGAAGAGTTTGGTAACAGAACTGAAAAGAAGAAGAAATACTGTGGCAAGAGGTGGTGGGATCAATTGCGCAAAAAGTACTAAAGTATCGCCTGAGATCTCGTCGGGATCACGCCAGCCATCAGGAGTGAGCTGCAGTGCACATTTAAAGTGACATTGTCTTCAAAACCTTTTGGGTCTGTCTATATTTGAAAGGATAATATCAGGTGGGATCTATCGGAGATAGGAGTTGAAGGCGATTGGATTTTGCTGGCCCAAGACACAGACCAGTGGAGGGCTTTGGTTAGTTCGGTGATGAACAATGAACCTTTGGGTTCCCTAAGCCATCTACTTAGTTATGTTTGTCTGTCTGTCATCCCCACTTTCAGTCACCATCTAAGAGGTCATCTTCCCCCAGCATTGTTCTTTCTTCCCAGGTCTTTGCCCTATTCTGCATACCCACAGTTTGGTGCTTTGCCGACACGGCTTGATCCTCACACCTTTGCCAGCCCACCTCGCTACAATATTCTCCTCTGAAGTTTGCAACCCCCTGGGCTAATACCACCTTGGGTTAGATGACAAAGGCCACTAAAATACCAGGAGGATGTGATCATGGAATGACCCCAGGCAGGGGAAAATTGTAATTTTAACCTCAAAGCTTTAATCACAACTTTCACATGCATAATCTGGGTGTGTTCCCATAGGTGAGGTCCCAGTCTTGCCTTGGCCTGGGTCATCTAACCTAACGAGGTAGAAGCCCAGATATTCCAAATCTGTGAGGAAAATATTATAGGGAGGGTAAGCTATGAGGAGCAAGCCTTGAGGGCAGAGCCCCAAAGTGACTAATCGAAACGGGTAAAAGGCCTGGGGAGAACAGCTCTGCCGAAGGAAGACCTATGGTGTAAACCTCCTGGGGGAAAAAAAACATCACAGTGCACTCTCCTAGATAGATGTCAGCACCCTTTAGGTGTCATTTTAATAAAAAAGTAGCAATTTATTTAGTGTGATATTTTTACATTTTAATATTTGTGATCATTAATTAATACTTGTATGTATCTGTATTTTATTCCACATCTATTTTCAATGTGACTAACTTTTGGATGCATGGAATGTATGTATTACATCACAAGAAGATGGAAAAATAAAATAATACTGGCTTCCCTCTCACTTCTAGCCTTATTACTACACCACAAATAATACAGCGATTATATAAATGATAATGGCGATGACTTTTTTCTCAACATATAACCTACCAGACTGTGCGTGCTTTACAAATAACACTTATACATTGTTTTTCAAATATGAGAACTGCATATTTCAGTAACAATTTTCAGCTGCTCTTTAAAATATGTAGTTAAATAATATAAAAATGTAGTTTTAATGAGTATTATCAAGTACTGAGGATGATTATTTGGACGTATGAGAAGTGGGAATCATTGCATAATGTCAAATTTCAAAAACTTCAGAATCTGCGGCACCAGTTGTAAATAGAACAGGTATTTGTAGATTCTACTTCATATTTTGGCCAGCCCCAATCTTCGGGGCTCCGAAATTACACATATTTTAGCTTGCTTCATTTTTTAAATATAAATTAATTCTGACAATGAGATTTCAGGTTCTCACAGTGGTAAATATATAGATTATATTTTGCTTTTCTGGCGACTATCGTTTTCCGAAACGATGGTATCGTCCTAAAAGTCCACCCAGAAGACCAACATCGATTGTGATGATGGTTAGCAGACGTCAAATGGGTAGATAGATGGAAACCTGTCTGATGTAGAACTGTGGTGATGGTTAGCAGACGTCAAATGGGTGGATAGATGGAAACCTGTCTGATGTAGAACATAATAAAACCACACCTAATTTGATAATGGAAAATAATATACATTATTTCGCCGACTTCTGTGATCAGTTTTTGTTACAGCAGCAAGTTTAAAAAATCTGTCCTGCTTTCATCTTTACGTAATCGTTATGTGGCCCATTATACTCAGGTGAAATAACCCCTTGTGTCTGAGTGAAAAAAAAAGATTTTCCTGCGATGCTACTAGCTTTCTATCCCCCTTGTATGTGCTCAGGTAATAACTGTACTTGTCCTATCAGGATATTGTACGAGGACATTTTACCTTGTCTGTTGTTTCAATGAAAATGTCGGCTTGGCAATCCGGTAACTTGAAGTCAGTCCTTACGAGGCCGACGTCTTGTAAAAGGTGAACACTTGACTTCGGGTTTTAGCACTGATAATGTCTGATCATATTGGATTTCCCAATTTTACTGTTTCATTTATTAACATTCGCCATATTCGGGAGTAGTTTCGTATCGATACATTTCAACAGCACATCACTCACACACTCGCTCCGTGGTCTACGCGCAACTAGTAGTTTTCAGACGGGGAAGGGTGGTACCTCGATGAATTTCCCGGCATAACTTTCGTTCGCGGACTTCAGTTTCTTTTTACTAAATTGGCTAACGTGTGATTACGTCACTAAAGAGGGAAATTCGGCAATTGTACTTTCCTCACCTCGTAGATATATTTTGAAGTAGACATGATAAAATCAAATAACACTTCCGTGTTTTTAGTAGATATGCAGAATAAAATTAGTTTTTTTTAATGTTCTCTTGTTTATATACGATGAAACTTGGTCTCTCATAATAACGGAAGATCACAGATGACGCTATCTGAGAACAAACTTCTGAACACGAAGACAGAGAAAACTATATAATAAGAACATTATGATTTCGTACTCACCAAAAACGTACAAAAACCATAATTTTGTCTGTAGTTTTGTACGGGTATAAAACTTGGTCTCTGACACTAAGGAAGGAACGTAGACTGTTGGTGTTTGAGTACAGGGCTCTGAGGATATATCTGGACCTAAGAGGGATTAATTTCTTGGAAGCTGGAGAAAGTTTCATAATGAGGAGCTTCATAAGTTGTACTCCTCGCCAAATTTAATTAGACTGACCAAGTCAAGGAAGATGTGATAGGCATGGCATGTAGCTCGCGTGGGAGAGAAGAGGAATGCATACAGAGTTTTCGTGGGCAAACCAGAAGGAAGGAAACCACTAGGAAGACTAAGACGTAGGCGGAAAGATAATATTAAAATGTATCTTAGGACTAGAATGGTGTCATATGGAATGGATTCATCTGGCTCAGGATTGGAACCAGAGGCGGGCTATTGTGAACACGGTGATGAATATTCGGGTTCCATAAAATTGTGGGAAATTCTTGAGTGGCTGGGCAACTGTTGGCTTCTCAGGAAGGACTCAGCTCCATTTAGTAAGTACGTAAGTAAATACCAAAAATGAATAAGTTGATTACTCATGAAGAAATACGTGATCAGAACCAATGTCACGCATTAGGGACATCAGATATGAGGCTAACTGAGAGGCATACATAGACATCGAAGGATGAAATCGAAGTAGATCAGACTGGGTTCCCCCGACTTATTACACAGTGGCGAACTTACATAACACTCAAGTAATTTAACTTCTGAAGAAGGACTCTACTTCGTGAAGATAGTTAATGGGGTTTGCACATAGCGATAGACAGCGTCTGGCAGATGTGTAGTAGCTGATTGAGTAAAACAATTATCACCCTGTATAGCTGTTCATTTCGTCTTTCTTTAAATAGTGTTCAGATTTTCTTAATACCAGAAAAACCTAATTCTTACGACTCTATGTTATTGTATTTTATTTGTTTCATTCGTGTTTATATTTTGTATTTTAAGTTATTTTGTTTTATTTTAATTTGTTTTATTTCTTATGTTATTTTGGACACCTTTACAATGTGGCCACTCATTCATATCAATAAAAACTCACGTAGTGACACACGTGTATAGTAGGACGGTGTTCTAGCGGTTAGAACGCTGGCCTTGTAATCCTGGGGTCTCGGGTTCGATTCCCGGCAGTGCCCGAATTTATAACTTGTGTTGGGTAAGGCCGTGGTCTAGGCAACACGGAGTTTTCCTCCGGGGCTTCCCCGGTTTCTCCGTGGCATCCCAACAATTACTCCATTCACACACAGAAGAAGGCAATGGCAAACCACTTCTGGATCATCTGCCAAGAACGTATATGAACAGGTCCCAGTCCGAGAAAAGGATGGAAGGATCCTGTTCATATGGACCTGTCGTCAGACAGAACACTAAATAATAATAAATAATAATTGATTGTACGTACCTACATTACAACAAACATTTCTAGAATTCTGCTAAAGACAATGTGAGAGTCGCGGGATTATAAAAATGGTATTATATTATTTTAAAGTGTTCAGCCTAAAATTTTATAAATCGCACAGTGTAACGTACCCTCTATTCATAGAACAAGAGGTCGTGCAGAATAGCACAACGTCCATACCAAATTTCATCCAAATCCGTCCAGTGATTCTCGAATTGGGCCTACCGTCCAGACGGACGGACATATATGACCAGCCCATAATGCGTTCTCGCTATGCACTTGATGCCAGAACTAGATGTTAATGGAGTATATCAGATGACAGTAAATAATTTACATTCCTCCGAGATATTTATTTGTATACTGGACTGTGATGTTGACGCCTTGTAGTCGACTCAAAACACCTAGAAAATCTCAAATTCTTCAACGCAGTTTTTTTGGGCAATGAGTCGTTTTTTATAATATCGATAATGTTCGACTTCAGCAGCATATAAAATGAGGCTGTCGAGTCGATACTAAAATCTCAGACTCCGACTCCTTCATAAAAGCTCAATATATATTAATAAGGGCAAACCTACTAAAATGGTAAATGGCACCATAAGAGATTTCATCATCATCACCACGTGAATCATCAGCCTACTTTTTAGACTTATAACCTATATTTAAATATACGTGTAATGGTTTGTGCAGAAATCGGTTGATTTGTAGACACTTTGTATTCTTAAGGTCCCGGAGCCAAAGTTACAAAGTATTATTCCCACACCACGTGGCTCGAAGCGTCGTTAAATCTACCTCAGCGTGAGGCCACCTTCGGCTCACATGGTATAGAAATTGTTCTTAAGATTTTATATCAACGTCGTAGTCGGTGTCGGTACATTTTTACCGACTCCACAACCCTGATCATACGTATACGAACCAAATTAAATTTTACCCACAGCTTGTAATGTAGACTGCACAAAACCAAATTTCATCGAAATCCATTCAGTAACTTTGTAGATACGAGGTGCGATCGGAAAGTTTCAAGACTGCGCGTATAAAAACCCGTACACTTATCTCAGGTATTAAATTCATCCATCACCCTCGAAGTAGTTCCCCTGGGAGTGAAAAAAACAGCTGGTTCTAAAGGAAGAACTCCACATGCGACGCATCATGACAACGCACCAGCGCACACCGCCTTCAAAGTTCGGCAGTTTTTGGCCTCAAACACCATGGCCGTCATCCTGCACCCTCCTTATTCGCCGGATTTAGCTCCGTGTGACTTCTTCCTCTTCCCAAAGATGAAAATTCAGCTAAAGGGATGGAGATTTGAGACGATAGAAGAGATTCAGGCAGAATCGCAGATGGTGCTTGACAGGCTGACAAAGAAAGATTTCCAGGGATGCTTCCAGGCTTGGCAGCGGCGCTAGGATCGTTGTGTTCACTCCCAGGGGAACTACTTCGAGGGTGATGGATGAATTTAATACCTGAGATAAGTGTACGGGTTTTTATACGCGCAGTCTAGAAACTTTCCGATCGCACTTCGTACAGGGTGTGGACGGATGGAAACAACCTCCCTTTGTAAGGTTCATTATCCTTGTGTGTTACAAACCATAAAATTTGCAATTGAGAACAAGTAAACTAGAAAAATGTGATGTGAAAGTTGATACAACACGTCAGTACTTCTATTCACCTAGAAGAAACTAAAAAAGTACCTTGGTGTATGTTGCAAAGTATCACATAACGTTACATAACCTATCAGACGTAGCTCTACCGCAAGGTTTCACTCATACGAACGGACCACCTAGGGCTTCAGCAGTCTGTATCAGCGCTTGAGAAAACCTAGTGTAGAACCGTCACACAATGCAGGAAGAAGTAGGACGAAAGAGATTTAAAGTGGCCATAATCGGAGGAGGACCGGTAAGTCAGTTCAGTCGTACGTATTTTAACAACGATGTCATATATCAGTAGTGCAAACTTTTGAGTTTAAAATGACAGTATCGGCTTAGGTACTAGTATTT